ATGTCAACAAATGGGTAATATCAGCAAATCAGTAATATCAGTAGTGTCTGAAAGCAACCAAATTCCATAGTCCCTCTAGGTAGCCTATACTAGTGTTCAGCATCCACAACTTGCTGTGCCCAATACTTGCTTATGAACAAAGATGATTTTTAACTAATTGTTATGTTGCATTATGTAATTTCAAACTATTATCTGGTTACTATGTAACCTTTTACATAGTTTCAGTGAGATCACACACAGTACTGTGCATAATATTCATTTCTAAAAATCAAGAAATTGCTACAGTGACATTTTAAAATTGAGTTCATTGTTTATGAAAGGACCCAGAACTGCAAACAAGTTATGACATACATGAGAGAGAATTTGTTTTTGGTACACAGCAGCCTTTGTCAAATTAACTATAAATTGAAAGACAAAAATTCCTGCTACACATAATGCAACCTGCTAAAACTGCCAGTCTCCACTAGTATCATCTCCCACCTCCCTCACTTGTACCAGTACAATAACATTTGAAATGCACCAAGATTTATAAAACATATCTATAGGGCAAACAATCTCTTTTCTGTGTATGTGTATTGTTCAAATACCAGGGGAGTTTGTAGAGTAGTTTTGTGCTTAACAAGGCACATAACTGAACTTCAAAGCCATTTGGCCAAATTGATTTGAAGTACACAGAGCTGAAAAATGAGTTTCCCCATACCTCCGTAAGTTATTATCTCTGTTCACGATTTTGACAGGACTGGTCCTCAGTTGTCTTTTTTCCAGCTCTGGTGAATCCATATCAACCAGATTACTAGGGATTCCCAAAGTCAATTCCAGGGGAAGGCATAGTGCTGACCAAACCTCCTCTATCCCATGGCAAAACTAAAGTACTTTATTTTCTCCCCTGTTTTTCTACTTCTTGATAGTTCCCGCTCCCGTCCCCCTGCCCCGAGATAAAAGAAAGTACACCTTTTTCAGCCAAAAATCTTTGGCATAACAATGATGAACCTCTTAAGAGAAGCCAGGTCATCATTCAAGTTCATTTCAAAGACAACTCTATATTCTCTAGGTAGTTACAAGTTAAGGACTTTAAAAAAATCAATAGGAAAAGTAAAGCCAATCTTCCATTTTTAAGACTGACATGTTAGATGGAAAGTGGGGCACGGAAGATGTGATTGTTATTCAAGGCAGTGAACAAACCTGTTTCAACATTCTCTCCAAGCTGTCAGACAAGGAGAAAGCTTTACAGTAAGCTCTGCTAAGAGGGAATTACAATAATTGAATCTTGTGGTCACAAGACCACATGGATATTATGAAGCACTGGATAAATAAGGGTGTAGCCTGTACATATTTTGCAACTGCACAAGTGTATTTTTCCCCTATATCTGACACACAGGCTTACCCTGGAAAAGGTGTGGTTGAAAGCGATGCAAAGTTGAAAGAATCTTATAGACCAACACAGATGTTAAGGACGTGACAGAATAATGCTGTTTTACAGTCCTGGTAATGCAGAGGGAATACAGACATATGCAGTCACAGTGCTAAGCTAGTGACTATTAAGAGTAACAAAAGAGAACTGAAAAAATTCTGAGGCTTCTAATAAAAATGGAAAAAAGTTCATGTAGCATTAACATTTGATATCCCTTAGGAATCGGAAAAACTTATTTAAAAAAAATAGAACCAAGTTTTAAGAGTTAATAAACTGAAATACTTATATACGTTTCATGATTAAAAGGTGGTACATAAAACTACTTATGAGTATGAACGAATGTTCACTTGGGGCCCTGCCAAACATTCAAATTAAAGCTGGAGAGAAACCAGTTAGAGAGTCATTACATGTTTTCAAGCACTAACGTTATAGCTGGTTGGCTCTTTTTATAGCGGAACTGTCATTTTTATCATGTGATAATTAGGTTGCATGTGTGGACAATTTAAATTTATTGCATGATTAACCAGTTAATTACCTAATCTATGCAATATGTAGCAGGGGCCTTGGAGAGGCTTCAAAAGGAAAAGGGGAGCTGCTGCTGCTGCTTTGAGCTGCTGCTCAGGACTAGGTAGAAGCTATTGCACTGTAACTGTTACATGTGCATGACTCTGAAGCTATACAAGTGTAGTTAAACCCTGCTTTTATCCAGGGTCAAAATCAGGGCAATGTAGCTCACTTGAATTGCTAAGGTCGATGCACACGTAACAACTACAGTATCACAACTTCTGCAGGTTCCTGAGATGCAGATCCTCCCTTCCTGAAGCTGCTCCAAGTATGTTTGTTCATACCTGAGATTATACAGCTAGACTACTGCCAGAGTAAACAGAGAAAAACCTTATCTGTGGATATCTGACTGGGCTATTTCTCTTAATTGTTTTACATTTTACTACTGCTGTCAGTGATGTTCTGCCAGTACTTTAATATGATGCAACCATATTTTTCCCCCAATAGCCTGTGTAAATGATGTGTACCAACAGAACGTTTCCCAGTGATGGATAAAGCAGGTTTTAGATTTTATTGGTATTTTGATAAAATTAAAGAGAAAGAAAAGCAAATTATTCTTGCATTAGCCCCAAACAATCTGCAATCCCCATAAGCTACTTGCAAAAATTGAATGAGCTTCAAAAAACCCTCAAAAACACTTCCTGCACATCTGTACATTGCATGTTTCCTTGGGTATACAATTTTCCTTTCTGCCATCCTAAGCAAAGTTTCTGAAGACAAGCTAAACTCATCTCAGCTAAACCATCCCACCTTTCCATTTGACAACTGTTTCTTTCACCTGTTCTTTCCAGTGTCAAATTTTCCCCTCAAAGAGAAATCAACCACGTTACCTCCTCTAACATTTTTCTGTGGTCTAGGTGAAGTGCTACTCACCTAGCTCAAAGGTGCCAGTGCTGTCACCTCCCACTGACACCAACAGGAGATCTCTTCAGCTTGTCAGAGGAGATGCATGACTCCCCACAAAATTAGGTCACAAGCACACCTCCGATATACCCGACTTTAGGCAACCAAATGAAAAAAAAATCATTTAGTTTCTGGTTAAAGTATTTGTGCAGGTCAGTATAATACCTTGTTCTCTATTAATCAGGGCAACAGGTCAAACCAGATTCACCCTATCCATGTGCTAGTCCTAGATGTTTCACACTGGGGTAATGGCAAGAATAGGCTGCTTCCTTTCTCTCTGTTTTATCAAAATAGTGACAAAACCTGAAACGCACTCTAAACTCAATGTAAAAGCCAGTTATTAAAACATTTAGAAGTTATGCACAAGGGGCTCCTGAAGCAGCTCTGGAAACTGCAGGCTCCTGCCCTGAGGTTTCAGTTGGAAGTAGGCCTGCCAGGTCTGGGCAAGGCTGTGGTAGAAGGGTGGCACAGTATCTCAGCTAAAGCAACAGGGATCCAACAGGAAAAATTCCCAATCAAGGTTGAGGTCCCCCACCCAGCACATCTTCTCTATCCCTTACTATGTGGCCAAGGGGAGAGTGACCTGCCTAGCCAATTTGCTGATGAGCCAGGCCAAGACAGCAACTCTGAAAAGATGCAGAAACCAGTTTGCAGTGACCAGCTGACGGCACCTTCCAACTCTTCCAGTTCTTGGTCCAGGCAAGCGTGACATTTGAATTTGGTCACTACACCTTGCAACAAAATACAGACCAGTTTGTAATGTGCTGGACCATTGTGGGGGCACTCTGTAAGGCGGAAGACGAATCAGGTGAGAGGCAGGGAAGAAGGAAGTTTCAATCTCTTGGCGATACAGGGTTTTTGTCGCTATCAAGTATTTCATGTTCCACCTGGGATGCACTTTCATCTTTGTGTTTTTAAGATTTAATATTTAAATATTTGTATAATAAAGGCTTTAAAAAGTCAAAATAAAATTCTCTTCATCTAGTCACAAGGGCAGCTTTCAGTAGTCTGACAAGTGCCTATTGTTCCTGAGAAATCTGTTACCTTGTGCTATCTTTGGCCATTCTGTCCCCATCTTCCATTTTTGAGGAAAACCAAGCTAAGACTCTGGTCCTTAGATATTTCCTTGATCCTTAACCTTGAAAAGCCAGGTTAACCCCTTCATTCAGAGTTAAAGCTGTAGCTGGGTTTCCTGCACTTGAATCATTCTCAGCTTATTCACACACAGCAGTCTGAATGTACTTGCTGCTGCCCTTTTGAAAGTGCTCTTGAAAGGGCTGAAAGTTCCACTGTCCATGTCCTCACATGAGAGTAACCACACCTGCAAGCCTCTAGTCTACACTACACTCTTAATATAACAGTCTGCATAGATGATGTATGCAGATTCCATTACTAAAAATAAAATATTTGTGAAAATCCAGTACCCATATTTATTTACACCTTGCTTCCCAGTACAAAGATGTCAGACAATTCTAACATCTCTATCTCTAAAAAGGTTTCTTACCATAAAATAGAGGCTTACCTACTTTGAAGTGACTGTCAAGAAAAGGAAAACTGGTATTAGAGAGCCCAGTGTACTTAAAGCATATATGCTACATATTCCCAAATGTCACTACTAGGGTCAGAAATCGTAATCACAATTCTTAGCAGTGAAATATGGCACTCTGAGTCACAGTACACAAATGAGCTAATCTTAAGAATAGTCATTCCCTTAAGTGAGTGAGGAGAGAATAACTAAAGGAACTTTGCACTAATGTGTAGGTGAATGTTACCTGAAACTTAACTCTCTCATTTTGATACTTTTAGTTTGAAAGAATAGAGCAGTTATCATACCATGAGGCTTAACATCCATCTGGTAGACAAAAATCAAAATGAAGTGCTTACAGAATATCCTGATATCAAGTAAAAGGAACAACAGATCATCTTTCACTTTCTGTTGTTTACTGCCAAAGATTAAATACTACCAGCTCATTATATTTACAAGCAACCATTATCTAAATAAACTGACCTGTCACATATGGCAATATCACAAATGAAGCTAGCACAGGGAACAGATCTGCTGCTTTAGGAATGAACAAAGTTTTTAACAGCAAAGTAACACTTAAGTTGACTATTACTGTACCTTCATGACATCTTTATAGGAGTGAATGACCTCAACCTCCTCTTTTTCATCTTCATCATCTTCCTCCACCCCTTCATCCAGAGCCTCATAGCCTTCATCTTTACCCCCATCTGCTTCCACTGTGTTGGTCATATGATCAATAAGCCGCTCCAATGGAGGACTGAGCTCTCGTTCTTCATTCTCCTTCAAACCATAGTCCAAAGCTTTATAAATTATAATCCCCAATGATTCAATAATCTAAAAGATAGAAAGTGAAATGATAATTACCATCAAGTACAGCATGGACAGACAGATAATTATATTTTATGCTCTAAGGTGTAAGAATTATATAAGCTGATCTACGGTAACTGTTTGCCTGCCTGCTCCTATTTCACAGTAAGTGAACCTAAACTGCAACAATTTACCCAGATAAATTAGCAAATCCAGCAAAAATGCATTAGGATCCCTTCCCCCAACACTGTTATAATTATTTCATCTGTCTCCACCTTAAATGAACAAGTAGGCAAGTGTAAGCACAAATATTCTTGTGTAAAATATGACAGACTGGGCATTCCACAAATGCTAAATTAGGATATCAAAAAACAAGTGATTATCTGCATTGCATCATTGCCTTGCATGTGCAGTATACTGCACCCAGAGGCATGACATGTCAAACTACAAGTATTTTGGTTTCAGAATTTCACATTAAAAAACAAAATAATTACAGAAGACAACAGGGCTTATTTTTTCTTCAAAAATGCCACACTTCAATATATTATTTTAAAGTGTGGCATTTTAGAAGAAAAAATAAGTCCTGTTTTAGTTTGTGTAAAGTTTTCACAGGCACACAAATTCTTCTTTTCTCAAAAAGAGTAACCTATACAAAAATCTCACTCTTTCACCACAATAGTGGTTATCTGAAATCTGCCTTCAACTTCATCACTTCACTGCTTCAAGACATAACTACATTTAACTATCAGGATCCCAGGGGCTAGCTTTGATGGGGCCAATGAGAAATGTCTTGTTTGCTACATAACTGAAGAATAGGCTACCTCATATGCAAAGTAACAGTATAAATGTTTTTAAAAAAATGGGACATGGGACACCATGGGACATTCACTGACATCAGAGTCCCATTGTCTGTACAGTGCTTAGAGCAGAGTAAAAGTAGTCACTCTTCACTCAATATTTCAGAACAATAAGGAATTAACCTTTAATGCCTCAAAATGTCAAGAACACATATTCTTTGACCATGTTTATTTATAAAGGGAAGCACTTGGGATTCTAGCATTATCAAGACATTAGAGAAAAGGGGTGTGATCTCATCCAACCGAGGACTTTATACAGATAAATGACCATGAACAAAGGGCTGCAAAACAGTAATAGAAAAGGAAATATAGAGGTTAAAACAGCCTTACTTTATGATGAAAGAGTATACTGGGGGGGGGGATTGTTTTTAATTTGTTCTCCCATTTTTCTTGTTCTCTATTATGACTAGTCAGGCTATAGTTTAGGATTAGTTAGTACTGGAGCAGATGTTAGTAATGGGACTATTTCCAAATGTTCCAATCCTGGTAGCCAAATGCCATTTTTATCTAATGTGGTGCTGACTATTATTCTAACAACAAATTCTCTTGTCAGGAGCAATATAAGTGCTTTTTTTTCCCCCCCAAGTACGACTTGAGCAACCAAAATATTTCACTAGATTAGTCTAAAGCCATGGTCTCGTCCTCTTTCAATTTATGGCACACCTCTTGTCAGAATCAAGGCACTCCTCAGAAAATGCCCACTGTTAGCTTTCAATCATTCCTTGATTATAAAAAAAAAATAATAGAGCAATTTTTCTGTTGTAAAGAACTCAGAAGGACCATAACAGTGTCTGCAGACATTAAAAAACCCTCAAAACCTCAGCACTTTATTTTAAACTCGGTGCGTTCCTTTGCCAAGACCAGCATATGCCCAGAAAAGGCAGTGTGTTACCTCAGCCTGGCTTCCCTGACATCTGCAAAGATTGGGTGCTTCAGTGGACCGTTTTTTTTTTGTTTTTTTTTTTTTTTTAGCTAAAAGTGCCAAAAAGTGCCATTGAAGCACCCAATCTTTACAGATGCTGCAGAGCTGGGTTGAAGTAATGTACTGCTTCTTCCAAGAAAGCACTTTGGGGGAGGAGGGCGGGGAGGAGATTGTTGTTGGGCTTTTTTTTAGTGTCTGCAAGCAGCCTACAGCTAATCAATTGAAATAACTGGATTTATCTTACGAGTTGCATGTAGATGCTTGTACACCTAACAGTACTAATACTGTGAAGCACCACATTGTAAACTTGAAAGGATCTCACAGGGGCCCTGGGTGCAGCAGGTACCTGGTTGAGAATTACTGGTCTAAAGGATTTTAGGCTAATGGACAAATTGAAAACAAAATTCTTTCAATCATCCCCAGAAATCAAACCTCATACGCTTCTGGTTGCTCAACAGGTTTCCACTTGATTCCTACAGTGAAACCATTTTGAAACTCATCAGTAGAGACTCTCAAACTGTCAGTGCAGAAATTACTTGCAATTTGCATGTAGGTTAATTAGCGTCCATATCAGCTCATGTCAAGGATTTTTTGGTGATATTTTTTATTGGACCTACTGGATAGTTAGACGAGAAGTCAGAAGCGCTTTTGGGGACAAAACCACCTTTCTTCAGGTCAAATATTTTTTCAAAACAGACTTTTCCTAGTAGTTTCTCAATAGTCCAAATATTATTTAATATAAAAAAGCCTTTTAAAATAAAGTGCCCACATTTTATGGTAAACCCATACAAGCAAATAAAAGATGAAAAACATCCGATATTCCTCCTCCTAAGATTTATTTTATATTGATCATTTTAATACCTGGATAGAAAAACAGTCATTATCCTATGTTACTCTCTAGCAGCTTCCCTTGTACCTCCTCTCCCAAATTTATGTGGCACACATCTGGATTGGCTACACAGCAGAAGCTGAGTTTTGTCAAAACTTTAAATCAGTAAATTTAGCTTTATAATTCATTTTTAGTGAAATGGAGTGACATGGAGGTACAAAAATAATGGAATTTCCTGTGGTAAGGCTGCTGTGCCTTTTAGAGGGATTGTCTAGAAAAATACATCAAAAAAAGAGGGGAGGCAAGGGCTCTCACTCACTCATTCACTCTCCGTTTGGAAACAAGGATTAAGGCTTTCAGAGGTCCCGTGGCTAAAACTCTGTGACAGCTGCTGCTTTACTTTGAAACCACCACCGTGTTGGCACATCTATCTAGCAGTATGGCCTGTGCATTTGTTTGGGCTAAGTGTAGATTTCATAATACATGCTAAGCTTTCACGACACAAAAGCCTGACCACCAACAGTTACAGAACTACAAATCAGCCTTCCAAATGCTTGTTTTGTCATGTTCAGAAATATGTTCCAAGTCTTGGTTTCAGCCTCTTAAAACAAAACAGCAAGCATGTTAACTGAGATACTTTGTATTACCTACTTCTCTGCCACTGGAATCATGTCACCAAATGTGGCAACGTTTTAACTAATGTTAATTACCACTGAAGCTATAAAAACATACATTAAATGAAGACAAAAATCCACAGAAATGTTCCAACTTTTTTGCACATGTGCATATTAACTACTCAAGTGACTTTAATATTGAAGGAAATACTTTTTATGACTATTAAACTGGAAACAGTACATAAGAATTAAAAAAAAACCAGACAACGCTGCCTACACGTAAAACTCAGTGCTTTCACTTGTGAGAAAACAAATAAAATCACAAGTCTTCAATGTTTTACTGTAAGAATTGACAAATACCAGTTTATGGTATGCATAATTAAGGGCTGTATTTTTTTTATTTTATTAACTATTTAAAGAATCAGTTGGATCTGACTTGCTACCTTAAGACCAAAATAATAAGTTCTAGTTCCTAACCGATGGCAACAAATTCTAATATACATCTAAATAACATCAATGATCAAAAGATATAGTATGAAAATGTTAAAAGTCAAAAGGTGACTGACTGATCTGTAGTTGGAGGCTTTAATTTAAGCTATCTGAAGTAGACAGAACTGTAATAATTGTAAGACACTGCAATATTAAATTGCCAAGTTTGAAAATAAGCAATGCTATAATTGCCTAAATTGCCTTGGTAGTGTTGAGATGTTGTTGAAAAAGCAAGATTTTTTGTGGGTGGTATCTTTTATTAGATCAAATGCATGGTTAGAATAGACATAGGCATTTTCCATGGATGGAAGGGGACATGGGAGACTCTCATTGTTTAACATCACAGTTCTTGTAAAGTCATCAGGCAGATTTCTGAAGCAGAACCTGCCTCAAGAGTGGCCGGGACACCCTCTGGTAGCTGCCTGAATCTTGCCTTGCTTGCCTACTCTGGCGTCTCAGGGTCTCACCCTATTGCCTTGCCTGCTACACTTTGATGGTAAAAATTAAGCGGGGAGGCTGCCATCAGAGACTGATGAGCTCTGGGTGCTTGATCTATTTCTGCTCCTTTTTGAGTTCAACTTTCCAACATAAGCAGGAGTCCTCTCCTTCCTCTCAGTCTTGGCTCAACTTAGCCTGTGTGATTTGGGACTCCAGCCTCACGGCACCATCTCTCGGGTCCAGCCTCACCGGACACCAGTTCTCCTTATGGGGCTCTGCTCCCTCTGGACACTGGCTCTCCCACTAATGCCTCTATGGTCATAGTTGCCTTAAGGGCTAAAATCGTGGCCTCCTCCAAACCCCACTAGCCACATCCATGCATTGCAGATATTACACAGGCCCTCTGTCCCTGCCCTCTCATGCTCTGGGCCCCTCAGCCCTGATGCTCTGACCTATCGGGTCCCTGAGCCTGGCTGAACCAAACTCTCTCCTCCCCCTTTAACTGGGCCCTTGCCCTGTCTGAACTGGATCCCTGGCCCTGTACTGGGTTCAGCTCCCCAAATCCCTATTTGTAGGGCTGCTATCTCCAGCTTCTAAACTGCTTGGCTTTAGCCCCATACAATCCACTGGGTCCCAGACCCTTGCAGTCTCTCTCCATCTCTGGGCCTTAGCCTCTTCTACTGCAGGGTGCCTCCTAGACACCCCCACTCCACATAACCCCTGTAGCCCATACCCAAGCCTCTGGTACTATGCCAACCACTGATCAAACATAAATCCCTTCCAGATCTCCCTGGGCTCCAATAAACTCCTACCATTTAGCTGCAGGCTCTCTGCAGCTCCCTTGGGTACCTGTGTTGCCTGAGTCTCCGTTCTCTTGC